TTTTACAGGGATTAGCCACCCGGCACAGGTCACTGACCCACATTGGGGCCTGGGGAGGGATGTAAGTCGTAGTAGTAATAATAATAATAATAATAATAATAATAGTAATTATTCATAGTAAATAATAATAATAATAATCGTCATTGATAGTGAATAAAAATTTTAATAAAAAATACACAAATATAAAATAACAGTAATAATAAAAATATTAATAAAATAATAATACAGGTAATAATAAAGAAATACAAGAATGAAAAAAGTTCGAAAGTGAGAAACACGAACCTAGACCCGGGAATTATTATTATTATTATAATTATTACAGGTTGACAACCCTTTATCTGAAATTCCAAAAACCGAAAGTTTATTTTGTGGGCATATTTTTTTTTTTTTTCCCTTCAGGGATTAGCCCACCCGGGCATAGATCACTGACCCACATCGGGGCGAAAATGTAATAGTAATATTAATTATAATAATTATTCATAGTAAATAAAAATTTTAATAAAAAGTACACCAAAATAAAATAATAATGACAACAATAATAATAATAATACTAAAATATAATAATAAAATTAATAATAATAATAATAACAATAATACTGTAATAAAAATCTAATAATAATAATAATAATAATAATAATAATAATAATAATAATAATGAAATACAAGAATGAAAAAAAAGATAAAAAATGAGAAACACGACCTAGACCTATGAATTGTTATTATTATTATAATTTTTATTATATTTTCGCCACCCAGGCCCCAATGTGGGTCAGTGACTTGTGCCCAGGTAAGCTAATTAAAAAAAAAAAAAAATTAACCATTCTTGGGGGATGAGGCTACAGGAACAATCTAACTTAGGGACTTGCAAAGTTTACGCACCTATGCTCTGCATACTGTAATTGTTATTTTTATAGCAACATATATTATATACAGGTACACTCCATATAATGCAATAAAATAACTACAATAACAAAAATAATGCAAAAGAACACTGTGTGCGTGTGTGGAACATTTATAGAAGTGTAAATATTTAAAATGGTGTTTACCATTACCACATGAAGGCTTCTAGAATGCTTGGCGTATTTTTTCACACCGTGGTTTTGAAGTAAAGTGATATCTCCATTTAGCCAGAACAATTGGTGCAGAGTACTTTCAGGAATGAGAGATTTCTGGGTAATGAGACGACTCTCTCAAACCAAGAAAAATATCCCCCATCCCCGGAATTTTCTGGGTAACGGAAAAATTTTCTCGGAATTTCCGGAAAATGCACCTGATTTTGATCTATTAAATCTGGGAAAAAACTCACCCCTCCCCAGAATTTTCCGGGGATTGGGAAAATTTTTCTCAAAATTCCGGCTTTGGGAACGATTTTCTGAAAATTTTTAATTCCGGGTTTGAGGGATTCCGGTTAATGGAGATACAGGTACTCCTCGACTTACAACCGCCTGGACATACGACCGCCACAGTTGTACAAATTTTTTTTCAAATTACATATTTTCGATCCCAACGTTAGTGATCGTGCTGCGTACTGACAAAATTTTCGTTTGTAATTCCCTTTAAAATGACTGGCAAGTGTAAAAGTTAGAGTTTCGTGGTGCTGAAAGAAAGAGAGACACCCACTATAGACTTTCTATGTATTATTTTCACATTTTCGACTTACGACCTGGTCGTCGGTCCCTAACCCCGCCGTAAGTCGGGGACTGGCTGTATTACTGTACTGGCACAGGCGTGGGATGAGCGTCTCCCACTCGTGAATTTTCACTTGCATGCTTCGTGTGAAGTCCTAATGGACTTCATTAATTTCTAAACCATGCCTGCCTCACATTGGAATATGAAGCTTTGGTTAGCCCACTCAGTTTGAAAGAAATACAGTATTACTGTAGGGTATCAATATTTTTCATTTACATAAAGTAGTGTGTTTGTGAACATCGAATGAGGGTGCTAAAGTATCAATTTCGGATAAGCGGGGTTGCGAATATCGAGGTATTCCTATGTATGTCCAGTGCAGTAGACTTATTGTTGGTGCTTCACTACCAAAGTAAAACCATATGTCTTGGCTGGGCCTCACAATCTCATACTGCATCACAACTAGTGGTGCAGTTTCTCAGTAGCTTCTCTGTGCTCCACTGCAAGTATTTCATTTATTATGTTTATTCCTGCTTTTAATAATTGATTACTGTACATTGATAAATTTTCAAGGAATGTATCTCAGCTTTTATAATGGGAACTATGTGAAAATGTGATTCGATTTACAAAAAGTGGTTTACGAAAGGTTTTCAGGAACAGAACTCTTTCATAAATCGAAGAATGCCTGTACTGTACTGTGCTTGAAAATTTGTCTATGCTGAGCTAAATTTAGAGTTACAAAATAGCATCATGCATTAGCACAATATAGATTCCCTTCAGAAGAATTACATTCATATTTGGTAAAATGTAGCAGTGACCTGTAATGGGGTTGGGTTTGAGTGAACTAACTCTCTTGGGTGTCCTCAAGCTGTGACCTGCAGGACAATTGCTCTTCATTTGGGACATTTGGCCATATCAACTATTTTGTTTTCAACTGGAGGAAACTTAACAAATTTCCAATTAATGCTTTTTTCAGATATTTTGATTTATTTTTAAGGGCTCAAACATACAGAAATACATTGTATGTACTTATGGGCAATTTTAAACTAAAACAATTTACAAATTGCATGTCATGTCTACTTTCTTAACATAACATTTGTCATCCTGTTCACTATAAGGTTTATGTTTCCACCTGGAAATGACTGGTAACTGTTATGGTTTCCTGATATACAGTACTGTAGATGTAAGTATGAATCACTCCTGTCCTGATAAGACAGGAAGACAAATCCTTTTCATCTGTCTTTAGTCAAATGTCAAGCTTTCAGAGGCAAGCAGTCAGTTAAAGCTTTAGTTCATTAATAAGAACACAGGACTATGACTAACAATGTTTATATAAAGGCTGTTTTGTGTTGAAAGTGTCCAGATATATCATTTAGAATTATAAATACTGTACCTATTTTTTTTCATTATTTCATGCTGTAAGATAAGCCACTAGTAATAAGTGTCAACCATCTTCAGTGTATATGTATCATAGTAGCACATTCATATTGTTGGTTACTTTAGGTTTTCACATCATATCATTTTCACAAACCGTTATCAGCAGTGTACTTTGCATATAGTGTACAGTATGTAGAAGAATTCTCAACAGGATACTTTAGCCATCAATTAAGGAAAACAGTTGACCTTGAACCTTGTTTTTAATAGAAAAAAGGCTGTGGGAATAACAAGAATTTCATCATTTACCATACTGTACTGTTCTGGATGAGGGAGAAGTTAAGAGTGGTAAGCAAGAAAACAAAGTACTGTATAATAAAGTAAAATAATAAAAGGTAAGATAGAAAAATACAGCTCTCAAAGAACAGTACTTTATATACATATATCATAATTTTGTATTCGAAGTTAAACAGCGCTACAGTGTACCCCCACTAAAAAATTATTCGGTACCCGTGTCATATTGTATCACGCCATAAGGGTGCCGAATAATTTTTAGTGGGTGTACATATGGCTAAAGAAATATTTTGAGTGGGGGATTTTTTTTTTTTTTTTTTTTTTACACAAGAAATTCTTCCTGGAGTGATAAGAGACTTATTGATCTACTTATTGAAAACTCTTTAACATGATTGATTTGAAATGAGTTGGCTGTTTTGAGATATTTAATATAAAAAAGAGTAGCTCCAACAGATTTGTTGTTAATTATTTAAAAGTAGGTATACTCGTCCAACATATCTTCTTACATATTATTAAGCTCTTCCTCACATATTAAAAAGTCTATTCTGTGTAATCTTTCTCCATTATGTATGTAGTGGTATACTCATTATTTTATCCTATCCTTTTTCTTCAACTATATTTTATAATTTTATTTCTATTTTCCCTTTTTATCAGTTCATCTTCTCGTATTCATGGCAACCATCACTTCATTTTTTTTTATCCTGCTTTATCAAATATTTTAAACAGTTAAGCATTGTTAGCTTTTATCTCCTTTGCTCTCCTCTCGGTGTTGCTCCCTCACTACCATCATGTATCCCAGTGTGTCACAACACTTTTTCTTTAGTCTCAGTATACCCCATGCTCTGTGGTTGTATGGCATTATCTCCCTCTGTATATACTGTCCTTTTTGTTATCCTTATACTCTAGCTAACCTTTCCTGTATCCTGTTCTATCAATTTCTTCATCTTCTTTTTACTTAAATCCCTCTTCCATCTTTGTTGCCATTACTGTTATAAATCAACAAATATCATTATTCATAGGATTTAAGGATTTAAGTCAGATCTTTGGCATTGCAAATCCCTTTCCATTCAGTTAAAAAAAATTAGAATATCTAATGAAATATTTTCTTTCAGGGTGTGATGGTCATCTTATTTCTTTCTAAGTAAAAGTGTTATCAGTATCTGGTTTGAGTTCTCAGGTTTTTCCATAGAAGGATCATTTTACACTTTTTCTTACATTTTGGGGGATCCACTGCCATTTTTATCGGTAAAAGACCAGGTCCACCATGTCAGTCTTATGTTTGCTCGAGACATCACTGGATATTAGATAAATTTGTAACCATTGTGTATTCTAACATTCTTCTCTTTAACAGATTAATATGTCTAATTCCACTAACATAGCAATTTACCTTCCAGTTCAACTTTTATAAAATACTAATTCATAAACACCTTTTATGATTTTCAGAATATAGTTTCCATCCTTACAGTAAAGGCCCTTTGGGTAACAGCTCATTGGTTTATATTACTAGCTTTCCTTTACTTAAAGCTAACCTTCCATAAATCATTTTGAACCATTATAGATTCCAGACCTGACATGATCCAAGGGCATCAGGCTTTATAGAACCTTCTCCTTCCCTCTTTCCTTTTATAATACAGTACAGTATTTCATATAATTTTTGTCTTTTTTCATATGAAGTATTATATTATAATGCAATGCTCCAATTTTAGGGTATCGATATTGAAGAGCAAGAGTTGGGACGTGACCCCAACCTCATCCGATGCACAGACAATTATCAAGATGAAGTGGATTGCCGCAAAACTCGCAGTGTACTTGCAATGTTCAAGAAAATGGAACTGCAGAGCGAAGAGGAAGAAAGAGGTATCTACCTATAACATAACAACAGGCTACTACAATATGTTTTGGTGATAATGAGAAGGGAAAATTTTTCTTGTAGATTTTTTTGTATGTGTGCAAAAACTTTGTGGTTGCCACATATATAAGGATAGGTGTGTTGCACCTCACTTATAAGCATGACACTTTCCTAGGGACTTGAGACTTAGCGTATGAGTCATACAGAGAACCCACTATACTATCCACCATGAGCACTTATATAGTCGGTTCCTAATACTGTACGGTGCATAAATCGTTGCCTCTAGTCTCATGTTATTCTTTGCTAACCATAAATAGCTGCACATCTGGGGAACTTACATACAGTATCCAAGATTATAAAATCTAGTAAGAAAGAATTATGTAAATGCAGTTTGAAATGTATTAAGAAAAGTAACCTAATGTCCATTTATGTAACTAAAAAAATAGAATATGTACTGTTGATCAATATCTGCAAGAAAATTTGATTTAAAACTTTAAAATTTAGTCTGTACGCACTAGCACCTTACATGAAATGAAATGAGTTGAGAAAAATCTGCAAATCTTCCTTGAAAGTTATTGAGAATTCTAGGAGGTTTACTTGTAATGAGCAGCTTTTTAAAAGACAAATGCAGGCTGATCAATTGGTTGTTTTTGAAAGAGCTTATTGTCACTGACAGGTCCTCGTCCTCTGAAGCGATTTACTCCACCTCCTGAAGGAGAGGAAGAAGATTCTGATGATGAGGAATATTCAGATGAGGAGTATTCTGATGAAGATGATGAGGAGGATAGTGAGGAGGAGGAGGAGGAAGATGAGGATGAAAGAAAACCAAAGTACAAGGATGAAGTCTTGGAGATGGTAATGTATATTTTTATTCCTTAATACTGTATATTTTATTTAAGTTATTATCGATTAATAATCTTTATAACTTATAGGTACAGTTTAGGTCAGGAATTCATTATACAGTTGGACCTTACTTGACGGCGAGTCGCTGTACCAGACCTCCCCAACAACACACACATTACTTAAATGATCTAACAACAATTGTGAGGAAAATTACCATTTGGGTTAATACTCTTGGGATCGCCTGAAATTTATTTAATGAACCTGTCACTTGCTCTGTTTGGAGCCCGTAGAATGACCAGAAATCGTGTACAATACCTGATGATTATCATCTCTCATTCATTTTTATCTCTGCCTTTGTCACTATCCTGCATTAATATTAGTGAAGGATGTTGCTAGTGAAAAGTAATTATTTTTTAATTTATAAAATGTACACACAGTACTCTCCATATACTGTACATACCTAGAAGGGTATGTCTGCTATATAATAAAATATCTCGGTCTACAGTCTTTGTAAATTAGTTGAAAGTACAGTATGCCCTTCAAATTCGTGGGGGTTAGGTTCTCAAAATGGCTGACGGGGAGGGGGAGGCAGTTTTACTTGTGTACAAAGAAATGTATATTCTCTCTGTGTTTGCCCTTAGAACAATATTTATTTTTTTCCTGTATTGTATATGTGTGTGTGTATCCAAAACACATACAAATAAATAATAATGGGAACATTCTCCCACAAATAATCATTAAAAAAATGTATTAAAAATGTTGAGTCTACCCTATAGTCTACTCTGTGCTTTATTAATAACAAAGCAAGGAGTGGAGTTGAGGGTAGACTCAACATTTTAATTTTTTTTCAGATTATTTGTGAGAGGATTTTCCCATTATTATTTATTTGTATGTGTTTTGTGTGTGTGTGTGTCAACACACACACACACACATGTACCCGTATACAGTACAGGTAAAGAAAATTACCAGCAACTTTAAAACTACCCTTAGACATTCTTGGGTACATCCAGGGTGCCGTCCACGAATAATAGAGGACCGCGAAATAAAATCCGTGAATTATCCTGGCATACTGCACTGTCTTCTGAAAAATGCACAATTGGGTACACAATTACCCGGTATGAAAAGAAATTTTTTTATTTTTTATTTTTTGGCATGTCCACTTTTATGCTTAAGATATGCATCATTGTAGATGATTTTGATGAATACATTCCTTCATATAGATCCAGCTTGAATCAATTTACTGTAATAGCTGGTACTTACATCTAAACAGATCTTACAGTTTATGCAGATAATTGCTGTTTTGTATGTATGCAGTATATTATCTGATACCTTAGGGGAAGAGCTATGAGGGTTCAGAGAGAGAAGATATGTGGAGTAGATTTTTGTGTTAAAGAACATAAAGAAAAGTTTAGTTTTACGTACTGTAATTGAATTTTGGCATCATAATGACAGTTAGTATTGAGCCTTTAATGAATAGTATTATTTAGAATATGTTATGTTTAGTTTAGTGATAAAAAAAATTCTTGAGTTTGGCATAAATATCTTAAGTCTTTTGAAATTAAGTGATATATACTGTATATAGACTGACATGTTTGTTATTGTTTTATCACCATTTCAGCTGGTAGGTGTTCCTGTATGGGGTAGGTGTGACACTAGCAGTATAGATACCCAATATTCGCCCTTTATAACACTGTATAGCAAATGTTTCTCACTGAAAAAAAAAATTGGTAAGACTTTGGAAGTTGCATGCAAGTGTTACTGTAACTCCTGCCTCAATTACCCTAGAATGAAAGTAATTTTAGGCACTGCTTCATTATTATTGTGTCCCACTGAGTTCAAAGGTAGTGCTTGTCATTTGGTTTTGTTCAGTTTATATTCATTAAGGATTGCTTTTTGTGCCACACTGAATTAAGAGAGCTGCTTCACACTTTTCCATAATAATGCAGAAGAAATTATGTATTCTAATATGCATACTGTATATGCTTAATTTGACTTGCAGATATATGTACTACAAAGTTGCAAATGCCTCTCTTACCAATACTGTACTTATGAAGTATTTTTTTGCCGGAGTTAAAAGTGTACTTACTTTTATGATGCAAAAACATATGGTTGATGCCATAGAAATTTGGGAAAATATTTGATACATTCAGAGTACATCTGACTGATATAAAGTTCACGAATCAAAGACTGCCACAGAAAAACACCCTTAACCCTTTGATGATGATGATTAAAGCTCTCATCTTTGAGGGTTAAACCATTATTCTAGAGTAATTAAACCAGGAATGTAAGATATTTGACCATTACCTCATTTTACTGCCATCCTCAAAAGGTTAAGCCAACATTCTTGAGTACAGTAATGAAAATTACTACCCCGGTATCCTATTTTTTTTTTTTTAGCCATTATCTTGTTGAAACCTCATTCTCAAAAGGGTTTCAGCAAATTCCAACGTATGTAAGTAGTAACCTCTCGGGCAAGGACAGCAAACTCTTGCCGCAGCAGAAGAATGACCTTCATAATGCCATAGAAATTAACACCTCACCCTTCTTTTGTTGGAACTGAGAATTGAATTTATGGGTTGTGTATTTTGAAGTGTTATCTCTACCTTATAGTTTGTATTTCATCTTAAAGCTTTTTGTCAGTTAATAGTAGCATATTGGGGTATTTTCAATTAAAAGTAAATTTTTCTATTAATGATAACAGTGAAAAAATGGTGCAATTTAAGACAGCACCTTCAATTTTTTAAGAATACCTTTGAATTTATCACAGTAAAGTTGATTTATTTGTTTTATTTTTTGTATTTAGATATGTATCCTGTATATGCATTTTGTATATATACTTAAGTTTTTCATGCTTACAGATGTTAACATTGGTACAGTACAGGGTGTCCCCATTATAAGTGTTTTAATTTTAAGTGGTTTTGCAGTCAAGTGGTGAAATAATTGTGGACCTCCATGTAAAAAGTCCCCCGAAGTTAAGAGGAGTCTCAGGCTGAAAGCTGTCGATCATTGGGAGCACAAGCGTTTGAGCGATTAAAATTCCTGCCCGCCTCCCATTCTCTTAAAGTTCATTCTATTTGTCCATTCTATCCATGCTCAGTACCACAAGATTCTCAGAATTTTTTTTTCCATTATTTAAACAAATATACTATTTCGAACTTCTCATGATCTTAAATAACAATGAATAGTTTATTATTATAAAAATTCTACTTTTGGATTGTTTAATATTTATCTTGACAGTGATACAGCCGAAAATAGATTCACCAATCACAATCACCTTTACATAGTACAACCTTACTTTACCAAATATTGCCAGGCAAAATTATCACTATGAGAGTCAGGGTGAGGTCGCTGGATGTTTGGCCGACTGTACTTTCAACCGAGAAGTGCCCTCTGAGATGTTTATACACTTCGATTAGGTCAACCCCTTGCCCGTCTGTAGTATAAGCTAGGCAGTTGCAGGTGATCTCATCTCCCTGGGAAGCTCAGGTTCTGTAGAGCAGGCACCAGTCTGGTGGCCCTCCTTTGGACATTTTCAATCAATTGTCAGTCTCTAGCATACCTCGGGGACCAGAAGGGGTGACAGTACTCCAGACAGAAGCACCTCACTCTTGAAGATCGTGACGAGGGATGGATCATCCAGATACCTAAATGACCTTATAAGACCTATTAGTTTCGTTGCTTGATTCACCTTCTTTTCACAATGGCCAGAAAACTTAAGTTTCTTGTCGACTTACACACCCAGGTTCTTTTCACATTCGGTCTCAATTAATGCAACTTCTTCATCCTGTTGGGATATATGATATGCCTCTACTGTAGGTGAGACGCAGGTGCATCCTCTTGCACTTTGTGACATTGAATCTTAGCAGCCATTTCTTCGACCATTCTTAAAGCTCACAGAGATCTTTCTGTAGCTTCAGAGTCTGTCCGTTTCTTAATTTCCCTAAATAATTTGGCATCATCCGCAAGCATTTTTATGAAGAAATGTATCACTTCTGGCATGTCATAAATGAAACAAACAAACAACAATGGGCCCAATACACTGTCCTGTGGTACCCCGCTTGTCACAGGCACGACTATTTCGTGCCATTAATCACCACACACTGCTTGTGATCGTGAAGAAAGTCTCTGATCCACGCGAGGACATTTCCCCGAATTCCGTCTCCTTCCAATTTAATTCTCGTGGTAGGCTGTCGAAAGCCTAGGCAAAATTCTAAGTATACAGTATATTGTCGATATTTCCACCTTGTTCTAGAATTTGAGTCCTAACATCCAGAACCTGAGTAATTGTGTTAAGCAGGAGCATCCCAGCATAAAACTGAGTTGACAGTCCTTTACAAGGTTTCACAAGGTATCACACTGTCATAAGGTCTCATTAAGAGAAACCTTGACACATTATAACACCTTGACACATTTTGACAACTTATGACACATTGAAACATTTTGACAACTTATGACACCTTGAAACATTGACAATGAATGACATCTTGACACATTTTGACAACTTGTGACACCTTGACATACATGGCACTGTATGAAACATTGGGAAAACTTGACACATTGTGATACCTGGTACATTGTCAATATGGTACTATAATTGAGCTTTGCAACAGGTCAGTACGTAATTCACAACTTGCTTGAATATACAAACATCATTAAGTTATTATGAAATGACAATTCTAGTACAGGTTGTACCTCTCTAGTCCGGCATTCTGTGGTCCGGAAACTCCCGTGGTCCGGAACGATTTTAGTTTGTCCAATAGGTAGATAGGCAGCTCTTTTTTTTTTTTTTTTTATCTGAATTATTATTATTATTACAGGAGTATTAAATTTTTGCCCCTCAGGCCCTAATGTGGGTCAGTGACCTATTCCCGGGTGGGCTAATCCCCTTAAAAAAAAAAAGCCGCTGGAAATTAAGGTTTGTTTACATCCGGCAGCTCTCTCTCTCTCTCTCTCTGCTTGTCTATACAGAGTACAACATTTAACCCTTCAATATATATATGAGCAGTAAATAAGTGTTGCTTTCATATTCTTATGTAGAGTAATGACGATATATTTTCACATGTGCGCACTTACATACGAGCAGTCTCACTTTTTTTTTTACCATTAATGGTTAGCTACTTATATTGTTCTATTTATTAACATTAAATAACATTACAGGTACTTCAAGCAACCATATTCATTTTTTTACATTAATTTTACTACAGCTAAACTCAGGGTCTTATTTTCTTCAGTTTTATATGTAGAACCAATCAGTCACTGGTTTCGTAAGCTTTAACATAAACAATGCCGGCAGCCGTCTCGTCTCCTCTAATATTCCACGTATTATTAATAAATTGTATTGTTAATTTTGCACACACGTACATTAATTCAATAAAAACAAATTCAGAAACATTAATTAAAATATATATGAACAGTAAATAAGTGTTGCTTTCATATTCTTATGTAAAGTAATGATGATATGTTTTCACGTGTGCGCATGCGCACTTACATATGCGATCTCTCTTTTTCTTTACCATTATCGTTAGCTACTTCTATTGTTCCATTTATTAACATTAAATAACATTACTTAAAACAACCATATTAATTTTACTACAGCTACAACCAAGGTCTTATTTTCTTCAGTTTTATATGTAGAACCAGTCAGTCACTGGTTTTGTAATCAACGAATACAATGCTGTGTCATTTCCTCGTGTGTTTTAATATTCTACGTATTATTAATGAATTGTATTGCTCATTTTGCACACAAACATTAATTCAATAAAAAAGACATTCAGTTATAAACAATAATGAATCTTTTGTACATAAGAGAAATGACGCTGTTTACACGATTATGCATGTCGTCTGCACGTTGGCGGGCCGTTCAAACCCGTCGAAATTCAAGTTTCCGCCGTCAAAATTTTTATTTACTGTATTTATTTTTTTGTGTTCCAATAAAATACGTTAAGAATTAAAAACTCGCGAAATTTGAGAAGCTACTATACGACATTTAACCCTTCAATATGTCTTCAAAGAGACCATGATGCAGAGAAAGTGGTGCTAGTGCTTCCAGGTATAAGCACAAGCCACTATCTATCCAGGAAAAGGGTGAATTTCCATGGTCCGGCACCGGTCAGGTCCCGAGGTTGCCGGACTAGAGAGGTACAACTTGTAGTATTATCAGTAACAAACCACTATTGCCACACACAAACACACCTCAAGAATATTTTTAATGGGAATTTTAATTTTTTTTTATAGTGACTTGGCATTGTAAAATTTCATATTATCTTAAGTCTCAAGAAGCCATCATTATACTTCTGTGTTCCAGTTACATAAAATTGGGATAATAATAGACTTATGGTAATAGTCTTTAGCTGTTTACTTCTTTGACCTCAATACTGTACAGTTATGTGTACAGATTACACACTTACTTTCCTAAATTTATCATACCCAGAAAAATCTAAATATTTCGAAGATATTAAAAATAATTATGGTGGTTAATATCACTAAAAGATTCAATATTTTATGACACAATTAAGGTTTATTACTCTGGGTAGGGTCAATTTATTGGTCCCGTGACCAACCAACCTAAGCATGGTACAGTACAAATATTCTCGTCTTAAGATGCACCCCCCTTTTTTTAGGGGGGGGGCTCTCCCCCTCAAAAACACAAAGGGTCAGCTTATAATCATGCACATATGCTATTCCATCTGAAACATGAGAATAGAGTATACACCACAGTAAATTAAGTTGTCGGTCATGAGAAGGAGTTATACAGTTGGACTAAAGTTACATTAAAGATGTTGCTGCTAATTTGAACTTTGAATGCAAATGTTTTTAAGAAAGGACAGCCTCTGGAAGTTGGAGGAATGAAAATTATTATGAAGAGGAAAATAATGCAAAAAAGGAAAACGGCTATTCATGTAGAATTTAAAAAGATAATTTAGGACAATTTGGAGTTGGAGAATATCAGATAATCAACACTGAAATGGAAATATTTTTTGATTAATGATTGTCAGTGGGAGAAAGAGTAATTTCTCTACATCTCCCATGGTGCTGATTTCACAGGGTTACTGAAGCCAACTGTTGCACTACCTACATAATGAGTTATTCCTTCAGTTACATTCCAGAGGCTGAAAACATGGAATCCTTGGCTACGGAAACAAATGCTGGACTGTGTTCCGTAATAGATTTTGTTAAGTTTAATATCAGGTATATATTTATGATTGAAATTAAATTTTAATTGCAGTTAGATTGATGGAAAGTGGCACAATAAACATTCAGAATTATTATTATAGTTTGACGTGTTTGGGTAACTGAGGTTTTGTTACTGTTACACTTTTGTTCAATAGTATACGTGTATCTCTAAACCAGAAATACTTGTAGACTGTACCTAGGATTTTTCCTCATCAGTGTCATGAACACAGTGAGGAACTTTGACTATTCAGTGGCTCAGTATACAATTCTGGTTTGTCACAAGAATATTGGGTAATGTGAAAGTTTTATCAACACCCTGTTGGTCCAACCGTAAACATTATTTTCCCAGTTTTCCAGATTTACCCATAAAAGCATGTTGCTTCCTCACCAAGGGGGTCTACCTCACTCTACGATGTTACTTTAGCAATGGAAGATCATATATTTATGAGTTTTAGTATTCTTTACAATTTATATATTTTTTAATTATTTATTATTTTTTATATTTACCATTGGCAGCCTAAATTATATAATAAACCCTCAACTGAGTAACATCTGGCATAAACCTTACAATTTTTTTTGTTTTGAATTTCTATAGCAATTCTGAAGTAATTTTACAAAATTAGTAGTTGTATAGAAATTTAAGAGATGAGAACTAGATTATTAGTGGACAATATTCATAATTGAATAATAATATCAGTACAGTATACAGTTTTACCCCGCCTAACGCGGTTTCACTTAACGCGTTTTCGCATATACGCGGTGAGTGTCCGAGACGCTATTTTTAGATTTGCCCCACCCGCCACCCTGCCTGACTGCCTGTTTTAGCTCATAAAATTCATACAAATTACCAGGCCAGAATATAATTTACATTGCTGGAATTCTTATAATTTGGTGATCATTTTGAATATAAACATCATATATTTTGCTTTAAACTTACAATTTTTAGATAAAAATTTTTCTCTAGGTAACTATGGTATCTTTTGTGCAAAATATATGACATTTATATTCAAAATATTCCTGGTCTTACAAGGAATCCAGCAATGTCAATTATATTATCCTAACTTTAGTTTGAGGTATTATTTATTAAAATTTAGTGGTTATCCCACACATCTCCTTGGGACGGTTGGTGGGGGGTGGGGGGGAGGGAGGGACCAACCGACCATCTGTTACCGTGTGAAGAATTATTATTTTTTTTATTAACTGAAGATATTTGTTTTAGCTCATAAAATTCATACAAATTACCCGGTCAGAATATAATTTACATTGCTGGAATTCTTATAATTTGGTGATCATTTTGAATATAAACATCATATATTTTGCTTTAAACTTACAATTTTTAGATAAAAATTTTTCTCTAGGTAACTATGTTATCTTTTGTCCAAAATATATGACATTTATATTCAAAATATTCCTGGTCTTACAAGGAATCCAGCAATGTCAATTATATTTTCCTAACTTTAGTTTGAGGTTATCCCACACATCTCCTTGGGACGGTTGGTGGGGGGGGGGAGGGAGGGACCGACCGACCATCTGTTAGCCGGCTGTGTAGTGTGAGAGGGGGAGGGAGTTGAGTCCATTATTTGAATGGACATTAACTTGGCGACTGTATTTCTCTATTTCTCTTAAGTATTAATTGTGTGCATGTACCATCATAAAATTAAGATGTTATTTTTACTACAACATAGGTATGTGCCTTCAAAAAGTGGAGTTTGGGGGTCGGGCCGGTTTCTATTGGAATTAATCCCATATGTTCTGTTGTTCACTTAACGCGGATTTCACTTAACGCGGGACCCTCTGGGTTCAATTGACCGCGTTAAGTGGGGTACAACTGTACTGATATGCAAATTGAGGATGTATTGGTACACCTTTCTCATTAATTTTATATGATTTACAGAGATTGGAAAATATTCTTAGTAAAATACAGTAAAACAATCATAATAAATAGTGTGTATTGCATTTATTTTTATCAAGGTTAAGTTATACTTCCTGGCTGAACATGGTGATGTCATGGGTTGTATTTGTATCTTACTTATACTTCAGAATTGTTCATACCATTTTTATTTTGAGTTAAGTGTCTGTTATGCAGAACACTTTATAATTGTGGATATACTAATTATTCATCCCTATCATCCTCCCTTTCTCTCTTTTGCTGCAATTTGCTTACTTGCTGTTTTGTGCAACTTCTGCCAATATTAATTGCTTCTATTCTTCTGCTTGTGGTGGTTTGGTGGCACTTTTTGCACCTGTCTTGTTGCTTAAAATTTTACTCTTGCCTAATATTGCCAAATTATATTATTGCCCTTCTAATTTGCACTTACTTATGTAAATTTTTGTTTCTTTGTAATGCCTTTTCTCTACTTGGTTGCAATTCAATCATGCCTTTTATTTCATGCTCTTGAATCTTTATATCTTTTGTCTACTGGATATATTTAATGCATGCTTTATCTTCACTACTGTTGCCAATCTCTTTTTAATTGTAAATTTTTTTTCTGTAAAACTATACTGGTAATACATGGTAAAAAATTGCTTTAATATCTTCTATGACATCTTTGGTGTACCAATGCTTTTGCAATGGCTACTGCGGCTGTTCTGCTGCTGCTTTTGCTGCTATACAGGTTAAATCCTCACAGAGTGCCAAAAAGGCAGCCTCGCTGCGTGCCAAATTCGAGAAGTGGGAATCAGAGGTTGAGCGCAACAACGAGTACAACCGTGGTGAGGCTCCCGAAGGTGAAGAAGAAGGTATGCCATCTATTGACACCGCCCGTAACCTCCGTGCCATGTTTGAGAACAAGGCCCAGGAGGCATCCCGGCCGGTTACTAATCATCCTAAGGTCAAGATCAACAGATTTGTGGTGAGTACTGAATTCTGATACAGTAATATCTCCGTTAGTTGGAATCCCTCAAACCCGGAACTCTTCCATAGCCGGAATCTAAATTTTCTTGGAAAATCGTTCCCAAAGCCAAAATTTTCCGGAAAATTCTGGCCTTGGGAGCGGTTTTCCGGGAAAATTCCGAGAAAATTTTCCTGGTACCCGGAAAATTCCGGGGATGGTGAAGTTTTTTCCAGGGTTTGAGAGATGAAAATCAGATGGATTTTCTGGAAATTCTGAGAAAATTTTCTGTTACCCGTAAAATTCCGGGGATGAGGGAAATTTTTCCAGGTGCGAGAGATGATATAATGGGCAATTTCTGGAACTTCCGAGAAAATTTTTCCATTACCCGGAAAATTCCAGGGATGAGGGATTTTTTTCCGTCTTTGATAGAGTCGTCTCGTTACCCGGAAATCTCTTGTTCCCGGAAGTGCTCTGCACCAATTGTTCCGGCTAATGGAGATATCACTGTATTTCTCTTTTATATATAAGTATTGGTGATTTCAAATATTTTCAATTGATATATTTTATTTTCCGAGTCATACTGTATATAATATTAATATTTTGTGGTATGTTATACAGTACTGTACATTATATCTAATATTGGTTCAAATAATATATATATATATACAGTATATATGTATATATATATATATATACGAGCACTTCATGAACAAATTTATGTAAATGCACTGTATGAAGATTTCTCTAGTTTAATTACAACTTTGAAAATGTAAGCGACCATTTATATCAATCCCAGTCTCCAGTATATTTCATATTTATATTAATAAATATTCACTTCGTAATACTGTACTTGAAACTTACTCTTGTACTATGTGGAACAAAATATTTGTAAATTTTTTCCTTTTTTGCCTTAAAATTGCTGTACTGCATCTTCCTGATAAATGTTTTTTAATCTTCCTGTAAGTTTCTCCTTAATATCAAAACTTTGTTCAGTATTTACTGTACATATCATGTCTTTGGGCCACTGTAGTGAGGTGTAATGTTCAGTGGTTACATGTAACTAGAGTACTGATAGGATGAATGAAGGTATTTTATAAGTTCACCTTTAATACTAATACTGTAGTTATGATGAAAGTGTGTATATATTTACTGTATATGTATTGCATATCTTCATATTGATAACAATTGTACTAATAATATCTTTAATATGTAGCTTGTATCTTAACTGTTGTGTGCTGAAGTAAATTGTCACAGATCCACAGAATGTGTGTATTTGTGTGCACATTTTATACATACCTTTCTAAAGGCTCTTAGTGAAATTTTGCTTGTCTTGAGAACTTTATTTAAAGAAAAATCTTTCTTGGAAGTGACAGTTTGCAAAGTAAAAATAGGTTATTGTTTGCCCTAACATACCTTGTTTAGAAGTACTGTATAGTATTTACATGAGAAACCAAGCAGTATCTGTCTGAGTGACTCTAATCAGGTACTGCATGCCAAGAATATTTTCTACTGAACTATCAGCTTCTTGAGGGCATGACACCATAAGATTTTTTTTTTTCATTCCTAACTTTTAGGTGAATAGTTTGCATTGTTCACTACCAAATAACCGGTTAAGTAGTGGAACTATGTGATTAACATTGTACTAACTAGACATTATACCAAGTTCTGTGTTGAGTGACTAAACCAGCCTCCCAGCTCAGCAACACACTGGAATAAGGGCCCAAGACCTCCATCCCAGCTGCTACCTGTTTTGTTATAAGTGTGATTAGACCAACAGATACCTGGTAACCTGAATAATGTATCAGAGTGAAGGGGGATCTATGAGCATAACATCACAACCAGCTTATAGTAACCTGGTAAACTTCATCTGGAAATGTGGCCTTATCCATCTTCAAGTAAGACTAGCTGATTTTCATAGTCCAGTATCCTCAATTACAAGTCATCAAGAATGGAATTTCTTATTACACCACATATGGAAGTAACTTTCAAGAGAGCAAAAGACTAGACTGGATCTAGCCTGACCTGTCCAGCATTGCTATGGTTGTGTGTGACCCTTGTGCTTTATTTTAGGCATCAACTAGTGGTGTCACTGTAAACTAACTCTCTTTGTTTTGCATTTTGCTTTTGTAATTTATAAAATGGTATCTCTTCCTTCTTTCTGCCATGGAAACTTTTTTTTACTATATTAGTGTTGTAATTAACTTCTTTGCTTCCTTTTTGGAAGACAGGTTATGTACAAATTCTGACAAATTTGACCTTGACAAAAAGCAATGACCTTAATAGTATAGCCACAGTATATAGAACTGTTCAATGGCAACTAAAACTGTGTTAGGAACAACAAAATAGGCTCAGTCACCAATTACTGCAAGCCTTTTTTTAAGTCAAAGGAAATTTTTTGTTTCAAACCTAGGATCCCTCAGAACTGAGTACAGTACTGTATATTGTTAGCAAAGAGAGGATTAAAGACTGATCCATTTGGGTTTCATTTCATATAATTTCTGCCCAATGCCTGTCCATTTGGCTCATTGTTCTTGGCCCAAACTGAGCAGGGTGGAACTGTGTTGGTGTTTTGTTTTCATATTATTAAAGTACAGTAGTACATCAATATATCTGAGTAATTGAGGAGGCCCCAGTGTAGAAAATGCAAAAGCACTTGGTAAATGATATTGTAGTCTATTACTGTGTACAGCTGCATATTCCCTGGTTTGTTCATTAATCAATTGTTTAAGTGTACGAGTAGCCAAATCAAGCCATCATGTATCACTCAAAGAAAATAAATAACATTGTTAGGAAGGTATTTCCATATCAAATACTATACAGTAAGTTATATTGACCCTGTTGAAAGTTGATTTGCTGAAAGTTTTCTCTCCAGGTACACATCCTGAGTGAGTACAGTATAGTACCTTCCGATACAGCTTATCCTTTTATTTTAAAGTCAAATTACTTGTACAAGTTATATAACTTTTTTCTTATGTTTTGAAGATTTTATATTAATCATGATGAACCACACACCATAAGAGGCTATTCATACATGAATATAATATTGGTTTTAATTAATAAACCTGGCGAATGCGGCAACGTCCCGAATCCCCGCCACCCCTAGCCTGTTTATATATGCAGTATCTTAGCTCTCATAAGCCCACAGCAAATCTGATTTAGACTACTGCACAGTATTCAGTGAGCAAGGGTTGTTCTTTTCATAATTTTTTTTTATTTGTATTTACCTATTTGTTAAAATACTTACTGTACATAATTTTACCCATTTCTTAAAACCCTCAAGTATCCCTGTTAAAGACGATACGTTTTCTATATAAAAAGTTCATGTAAATGAGTGTAGGTAGTTAGGTGTGTCGCACTGATACAATATGTTAGAAGGCAGGATTCAGATCAAGACCCACTCGCAGACGTTCAACCACACATCCAGACAAATGCTGGATTTTATGGACTTTTTTAAATATTTCTAGTGAATAAAGAGGCGATCTGGAGCACCCCAAAGAGTCCTAAAACAGCAAGTTTCATGTGGAGAAGTTTATTGTAAATACAAAATGTAGACAGTTGTATAAAACCTGCAACAGGACTCTTTTAAAGGAACACTATATTCATTATTTGTGAATAGGATTACATCAGTTTTTTCTCTTTCACTTGTGGTTTTACATCGTTTTAAAATAAGGTTTGCTTTTTACAAAGTCAGATCTTTCAGCTGTTGTACAAAGTAATGCTTGATAACGATGAGAGAAATGAGTTTACCAAAAGTTCACCACTAGTAGTTGATGTAACTAACCCCACATACAAGATATTAGTGGTCTGTAGTTGACACTTCACCTCCCATTCTCAGTGAAAACCAGCCACAGCTTCCTTGGAGCCTATTGTCCATCATCGCTATTGAGTGGCAGTCGTAGATCTACAGGTACTTGACTTCTATCAACGACATGACAAGCATAGCAGTTGCCAGTATTGTATCACTACTATCACCTAAGAATGGATCATTGCTATGGAAGCAACAATGTATTGTCTTGAAAAGAAAAATTAGAGCTACCATGACTGAGGAATGGATGTAATTACACTAAACTCCTTCCAGGATATTATAGTCTTAGAGGAATATAAAAAAATAAATAAAAATATTGAAGTACTGTACAGTATACTACTATGCAGTACTGTATTACAAAGTTATGCTACTTGCTCAAAATTCAATAACTGAACAGTTTGTTTGAATTAATACCACAGAAAATTTGTATTCATGTGTTAAATATGCATGCCTCACAATATCAGAATAATTGACACCCGTTATGAATTTAGTATTCTAGAATTATGAGCTGAAAAATTCAAGCTTTACTGTATAGGGAGGCAGGAAATGTGAATAACATTTTATTAATGTGAACCAAATTCATGCCAGCAAAAGTCTTTGTAATGGAAAGTTCTGGATCGTCATGTGGGACTCCTACGTAATTGAATGAAGATTATTATTGATTTATATTATTACAGTATTGATATATATTTTTTTTTTACTTACAGATATCTGTCTTGTGTTGTTTGTATGTATGATACACTTCAGTAAAATACTACTATATGCTCTTTGAGAGTGTTTCAACATAGAGTAAAAACCCCTATAAATTGGCACATAGGAGCTGAGACCTTGCTGAGTAATGGAATTTGCCAAATTATCAGTAATGAGCCTATACAGTATATACAATCTTAACAAAATAAAAACATTTGTACAGTATTAGGTACTTATCAATAGCAAGGAGAAATTTTTTGTTGAGCTTGTATTAGACGGACAAACTGTATTGTATTTTGTATTGTGTGCAACACTTGACAGTACAGTAAATTGTTCTGACAAACTTAACACTATTGTATGTACTGTACACTTTATACATAACAGTAACACTTCACAGGCACTTAATCACTGTCAGGTCTAACCATGACGAGAGGCACATGTAAACTGAAGCTCACTGTGGGCTGGCTTGCCGAATTCTCGCTCATAACTCGGCTCCTGCCGACATAGCGCAAATTTGCCAACT